TATCTGTTCCTAACTGAGACAGTTGTTAAATGAGCTTGTCCCGTTTTACGACTTTCCTTGCCACCGTTGTGAAGTCAGTCGCTGCAGTTGTTCAGTTAGTGGCGCAGTTGTTAAATGAAACTGTATAGTCCAGTGTGTCTCAACCTCAGCAACTTCAAGATGGGTGGACTTCAATTCCCAGAATTCAAGCTGTGCTGGCTGGGGAATCCTGGGAGTTGAAGTCCACCCATCTTAAAAGTTGGCCAGGTTGAGAAGCTCTGATCTAACTAGCTATGTTTCTTTCACCCTCACCTGTTTGCCTTCTGAGTCCAGGGTCTGGGTACCCTGATTCCATCTTCTTGGTTATTTTCACACCGTGGAAAACTCTGGCGTTTCACCTGTCAGGGACCCCCAAGGGTCATCTAGCCCCACCCTCTGCAATGTGCGGGGAAAAACCCATTTCAGCTGCTTTTCCAGCCTCTTCTTAACCCATCAAGCAAGCCTCTGTCTTTCTATAGCAGCCATTATAAGGGAGTGCTTAGCATGCGCTTCAGAATTTATGCACACGCAGTGCACACACACACACATACACACACACCGCAAAAATCATGGGCTCAGCAATTGAATTGCAAAAACAAAACAGGCTTATGCTCAGAAAGCACTTTAGGCTTGTGATTGTACATTAGCTGGCTGACTGTCACTGGGTTTTGTAGTCCCATGGGCCCAGAAGGCAAAGAGGCCACAGAGCAAAATGCAGAAGATATTAAACAGTATATATATATTTTTTACACCCAGCAGAATCTTGCTAATGCTACGTGTGCATATTCAACTTTCTTTTATTCTCGTTATATTTTTATAATCAGCCAGACGACGTAAGGGGGCAGCAGCCTCTCTAAAAATAACTATTGCTTTTCACCCCAGGAAGGTGTATAGTATACTGTAATATATTTCCTACTGGACCCCAGAGCTGGTATTTGAGAACTGCAGCATAAAGGCAATACATGGTTGGACTAGCTGACCTTAGAGATTCCTGCCAGCGCCACAATCCCATAGTGGATAACTTGATGGGAGGGGGGGAATCAGGAGGAGTCTGGGTGAACCTTTTTTCAAATGATCAATTTTATGCAAAGGTGAACCTTTGGTGAGGAAATGCTGGTTTGTTTAGCTACCATAGCAAGCTAAACAACTTTAAGATGTGTAGACTTCAACTCTTGGAGGAGGAGGAGGAGGAGGAGGAGGAGGAGGAGGAGGACTATGGGGTCCCTAGTGCTCTCTGAGCTTGGCTGTTTTCTTCCTGACATCTCATGACCCAACTAGGGAACACCATCAGTGCTGGAAGAGATGGCTTTGCTCTTTGTTTATATACCAGTGGATTTGCCCTCTCAGTATTGGTGGGAGTGTTCCAGGATCCCTCTAGTGTTTTTGGACTTAGTAAAGGTCGTCCTTGACTCACAACCACAACCGAGCCCAAAATTTCTCTTTCTAAGTGAGACACCGTTGTAACTATGGAGAACAGTCATAAATCCCCCCTCCTTTTTTTAGAGCTGTTGTAACGTCGAATGGTTACTAAACGAACCGCTGTAAGTTGCACGGTCAAATACAGCTTCGTCTGTTACCACGGTGATATATTTTCTCTCTTCTTCGCACATCTGCAGATTGCCGCATTAATGTCCTTCTTGTGGTGCTGATGTTGGGGATGATGGGGATGAGATGACAGAAAACAAACAAACCCTGAACTGCGCAACTGTGAAAGGGCCCAGATGCTTCCCTGCGGTGTGTGTCTTTGGACTGCATCCAGTTTTGGTCACCACGATGTAAAAAATAGATGTTGAGACTCTAGAAAGAGCGCAGAGAAGAGCAACAGAGATGATCAGGGGACTGGAGGCTAAAACATATAAGGAACGGTTGCTGGAATTGGGGATGTCTAGTTTAACGAAGAGAAGGACGAGGGGGGACAGGATAGCAGTGTTCCAGTATCTCAGGGGCTGCCCCAAAGAAGAGGGAGTCAAGCTATTCTCCAAAGCGCCTGAAGGCAGGACAAGAAGCAACGGATGGAAACTAATCAAGGAGAGAAGCAACCTGGAACTAAGGAGAAATTTCCTGACAGTGAGAACAATTAACCAGTGGAACCACCTGCCTCCAGAAGCTGTGAATGCTCCAACACTGGAAGTTTTTAAGAAGAGACTGGACAGCCATTTGTCTGAAATGGTATAGGGTTTCCTGCCTGAGCAGGGGATTGGACTAGATGACCTCCAAGATCCCTTCCAACTTTATTATTATTATTATTATTACTTAACAACTGAGGCAAGGAAAGTCGTCAAATGGAGCAAAACTCACTTAACCAATGTCTCAGTTAAGAAATGTTGGGCAGAATAATAATAATAATAATAATAATAATAATAATAATAATAATAATAATAAAAAATAAAAAAAATTCACCATCAGTCAATTGCAAAAAGCGGCCTTACTAGGAACTGCTTCCATCCTGCGACGAGATCTGTAATACCATCAAACATCCACATCTGCCTATCCCAGGTCCTTGGGAAGGACTCGATAGGTAGACAAAAATGCCAAATCCAGTCTGAACATCTGGCCGACTGTGCGATGATCCATAATAATAATAAAAGTTGGAAGGGACCTTGGAGGTCATCTAGTCCAACCCCCTGCTCAGGCAGGAAACCCTATACCATTTCGGACAAATGGCTGTCCAGTCTCTTCTTCAAAACTTCCAGTGTTGGAGCATTCAGCGCTTCTGGAGGCAGGTTGTTCCACTGGTTAATTGTTCTGACTGTCAGGAAATTTCTCCTCAGTTCCAGGTTGCTTCTCTCCTTGATCAGTTTCCATCCGTTGCTTCTTGTCCTGCCTTCGGGTGCTTTGGAGAATAGCTTGACTGCCTCTTCTTTGGGGCAGCCCCTGAGATATTGGAAGACTGCTATCATGTCCCCACTCGTCCTTCTCTTCATTAGACTAGACAGACCCAATTCCAGCAACCGTTCCTTATATGTTTTAGCCTCCAGTCCCCTGATCATCTTTGTTGCTCTTCTCTGCACTCTTTCTAGAGTCTCAACATCTTTTCTAAATCGTGGTGACCAAAACTGGATGCAAGTATTCCAAGTGTGGCCTTACCAAGGCCTTGTAAAGCGGTATTAACACTTCACCTGATCTGGATTCTATCTTGTGGTCCTACGTTCAAGGACTAATTGTATTTGTGTCCTGGGGGGAAAAAAAAGCCTCTGAATCAATTCATTTGGCTCCCAATGAATGTACTTTTTTTTTTTTTTAATTGGAAGCTGTTTCGAACGACTCTTTTATTAGAAACGGCAATCGCAGCTGGGTGTTTTTTCCCCGCACAAAAGCCCAGACTGAAGTACGGCGCTTGAAGGCGGCTGGTTCAGAGGATCAGACTTCTGATTATCCGTTTGTTCTCTAGATCGCGCAAACATTAAGGAGGGATTTTTTTTCAATTCTGTCTCTATCTGGCTGTGTTGTCACATCGCTGAGATCCCTCTCTCCACGGGGTCACCCTGGCAGGATTCCTCCACTTGAGAAAACGTCCCTCTTTGGCACACGTTAGATCTTTTTTTTTTTTTAAATAGATCTTTTATTGGTTTTTAACTATAACAATCTCCAGTGCCTGGCATACAGCGCGTTGTCTTGGTTTAGAGTTTAACGAGAAAAGAAAATAAGGACAGTAATAATTAATTAACACGTTAGATCTGAGAGCCAAGCCAGAGGAGCAGAACACACCGCTGCAGAAATATAATAAGGAAGTAAGTGAATGAATCCCTAAACTAAAGATTTTATTATTGAATTTTTGACTACCCAATCACCACGCTGCTTTCTAAATACTTAAATGTAAAACTGGAAAACCAATAAAATTTGTTATTAAAAAAAAAAGGAGGACTGTCCCAGGGCCACTGCCCGTTACCCACATTTGGGGAATCTACTCTTCAGCCGACTGAGTTTCCCACCGCTAAGCAAAGTTTGGCTTTAATTTATATTTTTTATTGGGGATGTCTAGTTTAATGAAGAGAAGGACCAGGGGGGACACAATAACAGTCTTCCAGTATCTCAGGGGCTGCCCCAAAGAAGAGGGAGTCAAGCTCTTCTCCAAAGCACCCGAAGGGAGGGAAACTGATCAAGGAGAGAAGCAACCTGGAACTAAGGAGAAACTTCCTGACAGTCAGAACAATTAACCAGTGGAACAATTTGCCTCCAGAAGCGGTGAATGCTCCAACAATGGAAGTTTTTAAGAAGAGACTGGACGGCCATTTGTCCGAAATGGTATATAGGGTTTCCTGCCTGAGCAGGGGGTTGGACTAGATGACCTGCAAGGTCTCTTCCAACTCTGTTGTTCTTCTTTTTCCTTCCTTCCTTCCTTCCTTCCTTCCTTCCTTCCCTCCCTCCCTCCCTCCCTCCCTTCTCCAACACTGGAAGTTTTTAAGAAGAGACTGGACAGCCATTTGTCTGAAATGGTATAGGGTTTCCTGCCTGAGTAGGGGGTTGGACTTGATGACCTCCAAGGTCCCTTCCAACTTTATTATTATTATTATTATTATTATTATTATTATTATTATTATTATTATTATTATTATTACTACTATTGTTATTGTTATTATTTGTTATTATTTGTTATTATTTGTTATTATTTGTTGTTGTTATTATTATTATTAATATTTTTATTTGTTTTTGTTGTTGTTGTTGTTGGTTGTCCATGGAGCAAGCTTCAGGAAGTCAGAAGATCCGGCACTTAAGCCATGCAACTGCCTGGACACAGACCAGCCCTGTGCACGAGCCATAAAATGATTTTATTCCTGGAGACTTTGTCCAGGATCCTTGCCCAACTGGAGTTCCAGATAGACGCTTCCAGCGACCTTCTTGAGATGTTCTCCTTGGATCAAGCCCATGGCGCCCGGAACGGCAGGAGAGACGTGGTTTGGGTTGCTGTCAAGCCAAGGATGCTCAAGGGGGTCCCGAGGAGACCTCCAGGCGTCGGCAGGGGTCCTCGCTTTGCGACGGCCTCAGATCAAGGGCAGCAGCTCGTTGGTGAGAGCGTACCTCTTCTCCTGCCAGCGGAAGTGAGTGGGCTGCTGACCGGCTCCATCCTGGTACTCGAAGCCGGGGCTCAGCTCAAAGGCCAAGGATGACTTGACCAGCCCCACTCCGCCGGTCTTTTCCGGCCCCGGGTGATAGACCCGCCCGTTCTCGGGCAGCATGACCAGCTTCTCCGGCTGGAAGGGTACGGCCAGGCGGTCGGCGCCCCCGCAGAAGGAGAGCAGCGGCTGGCCCGAGGGCCCTTCCAGGAGGTGGGTGAAGACCACGGGCCGGTCGTCGCAACGGAGGTAGTTGTGCTCCCGGCCGCAGGGCGACAGGTAAGGGAAGGAGTCCTCGTAGCGGCCGCTGCGGTTCAGCTTGAGCTGCTTGAAGAAGAAGACCAGGAACTGCTTGTCTGCCGGAGGGAGGGAGGGAGGGA